GCGGGGGCAATGGGTGATGTTTTTAAGTCGCAAATAGCGGTAATAGGCAACGTAACTAAAACTAGCTACAAATATCAACCATGTCGCAGTCTGCATGAAATGTGGGGTCCCAGCTGACAGGGTAATCCAAATGAGGAAAACGCCGCGCTCATCGCTGCGACGGAGCGGCAATTAACGATTCTCTCGACCGTCTCCCGACACACCGTACGCTAGGGATTTCTCGAGGCGAAAGAAAGGGTCATATTCAGCTATGAGGGGGGTGACTAGGTCGTATTGAGCTTGACTAATATTTTGTTTGATAATTCTGATGAGTGTTTCTTTTCTACCGACACTCTCGTCGGATATGAGTGGATGGTATTATATTGAGGAAAATTTGCTCAGCACCATGGCGTGTCCTGATTCATCATATATCCCGGAGATAACCTTATTTACAGACAACAAGGCAGTCCATGTTCGATATGACCCTCGACGTTGTCTATGCGGGTTTGGCACCGTCAACGGGACATCCATCTCGTTTCGACGGTTGCCTAAGAGATGTGACTATTAACGGAGATGCTCTGCCCGTTAGTGAGAAAGGAAAGGTAAGTTATTCCGCAGTAGTTAGGCGATGAGGGGGGCATTTTGCACTTTCGCTGTTTTCCGTTGTCGTGTCGAGCCATTAAGTAAGGATTTGTAAAGTCTTGTAGTCTTGTAGAGCCATGATGTTACCAGTCAGACTTTGTAGAAAAAACTCGTTAACTTTGGTAAAAAAATACCTGTCAGTTACTGTAAAGTAATGAGCACGACATGGGGAAAGAGCGAAAGTGCGAAACGCTTCCCCCCCCCCCCAATCGCGCCATTATTTCAATAACTTGTACTCTTGAAAAATTACTAATGTGCACTTTTTTCCAGATTCGTCAAGGTTGCGTCGTAGCGAATCGATGCAACGTAGATGGCGTTTGTCCAAAGGAAAGCACCTGTCAACGAGAATGGAATCGTCACTCATGTAAATGTCACAGAGGTTCGTCATAGGACCCATTTCCCTATGCCCACGAAAAATCACTTTTCATTAAAGGATTCGCTGGTGACACCTGCCAAGCCGTCTGTTCCTTGCCGGGCATCTGTGCCTCAAATGGATTTTGCTTAACGACAAATACGACTCGAGGCTACGATTGCCATTGCCAAAGCGGTAGGTTTACCAGCAATATTATAAACCTTAAGAAAACAGGATCTATTACAGTATTTTTCCCCGAAATGCGCCGTGCAGATTAATGCTGTCCTCATGAACGCACGCATGGGCACACGGTAAACCTGTTTGTTACCAAGCGCTGGGGACCTTTAAACTAAGATTTGTGGTAGATGGCCTTTTAAACCAACCTGGTTTCACTCCATATCACACGAGACGAGAAGCGTGCAATTGCGTACTTAGTGCAGCACATTTGATAAGTGGCTTTAAGAAGTTGGTCGTTTCCGTCAAACGAAAGACTCGCTTTTTGTACTTGAAACCTAGTGACACTCAACTAAATAAACTTGAGTCTGACGAAATCGATTACTACTTGGAGGGAGGAGAAATTCTCGAGATCACTGTCATGCGCTCCACTGGGTCCGCAATTACGACCCTCTGACCACAGCCATACGATAAGGTGTTTACTTTCGGTCGTTGTCCCGGACTCTTTGAAGAGCGCAGGAAGGAGGGAGTTTCGGGTAAGGCCAGGAATCGAGAACGACTTTAACTCTTCTCTCCAGCTGCAGCGAGGTGCTGCCTAGGCGGAAACAGTGCGCACAGTCGTTCCTATGCACTCGATTTTACGCACCATTTAGATACTGTACCCCGTCTGTTTTCCTAAACGTATGATTTAGTGCAGGTGGAGGTGGATGTAGTGACAAGTGGCGCGCTTACCACTCGCGCGGCGCCGGGTTCGAATCCCGGGTCGACTCCCGCCCAGGCCAACCAAGCCTTCTACCCTCCGGGGACGGTGAATTGGTACCAGATTCGTCTGGGAGGATAAAACACTGACTTGTACATCGGGGCCACCGCAAGTCATTGTATAGGCCACATCGCATTCAATAAGCCACTAGCGCGTTGCGTGCAATGGGACAGTAGAATCGTGCCCGCATTCCCACAAAGGGATTGATCAATGGCGAAGCACTTTATCTTGTCCTTATCGTTGTGATTTTAGGCGCTATTCCCACCTGGTTAGACATTGATCTTCAAAGGCCAAATCTCGTCCTCTTCAGCCTAGCTTGGACCGAAACTGCGAGCGCTCGGCTCGGGCAGATCCCTCGTCGCCCGGATTTGGGGACAGTTTCCTCACTGCAAGAAGTGTTCTTGCTCCGAGGGATTTGAGACACAGTGCAATAAGGAGAATGGAAAGTGCAGTTGTCCGGTATGTTGTTGTGTCGCGTTCGAGAACAAACAAGGCGCAGTTTGGCTTGGTAGGGACATTTCGCTGAATCCCATTGATCACTATCGATGGCTCCAGTGGAAGCCTGAAACTTTCTGTGAAGCTGTGCGTAGAGGAGCATCACATACACTTGTCAAGAGTTCAAAGGCCTTACCATGGTCTGACATTTAATTTAACAGGAACTGCCAAAAGAAACTAGCCATAGTGCGAAATGCCCCTCCCGAGCTGAACAGCGCCGAGAAATGGGTCATGATAGGTGTTTCTGAATTTCAGTCTTTTTGCAGAAGTTCCAGTTCCCCTTAGGAGGTCGATGCGTGAGTTGCGAATGTGGGTACGGTGCCACATCGCTGCAATGCTCAGTGGACGGCCAATGCAAGTGCGCTGGCCAAGCTAGTGGCCGACGATGTGATCGATGTACGCTTGAAAACCATGTAAGTCAATTTACTTGTACGAAGAGTGAGACTGTTTAGTACCAGGCCATGACCCTCTTCACATTTCCGATTTCCGGAATTCTCCTTGCAAAGTTTTCCGCCATCATGGCTCCGATTCCATCGAAGCTATAAGGTGCATGTTTTAGGCTCTGTTTTTGCGGGGATGTCCCTGTGGAAGTTCCGTATTCTTTCTTCCTTTTTTCTCTTTTTCTTTCGCTTCTCCTGTCTTTCGTCTGGACTCTCGCACTGCCTTGCGCTCAGCACTGCACGTCCTACGATTCATAGAGATATGATATACTGGTCCAGTAATTTGAGACTTGAAGCACGGCAGCTAGGTGCATGGTCTCTCCCCCCCCCCCTTTCTGCTAGCTTGCTGCATTTCTGCCCTGTAGCGCTGCTCGCAGTTCCTTGCACTCGCATCATAATGAGCATAAGTATACTAGAAGACCTTAGAATATTGCCTGTAACATTGGGAATTGGGTAACCACTTCTGTCCTTTACTTCTTCGAAAGTCTAATTCTTCCACGAT